ATAAAATATAAAAATTTAGTTTACTCACTTTTCAGTTCTTTTCCACCAGAGTCACCCCCCAAATTGCCCCAAGTTTCTTCTCCTTGTTCAGGATATTCAGTTGAGATTTTTCCCAAATTTTCTCTCAAACTTAAATCAGCATGCCGTCGATTCGAATTTCCGTCAAAGCCTTCTTCAGTCACCGATCTCTTATCGTTCATGAGAAACTTTCGATTGGCTAAAAGTCGGACCAAGAGTTCATATTCGCTGCCACCGGTGCAAATGGTTGGCGTAGATATTGAGAGCAGATGAAGCAGGGTAAATATATAAACGTAATTCCACATTTGTGATCTACTAAGTAAAAAAACAAGCTTTGAAAAAATGTATAAATACTAAAATTAAAACTACTATTCCAGCATATTCTATTTATAATTATCTAATTACAACTACCACCGACAGGTGCAAATTATTCAATGTATAGCCCGCAGTTTGTTTATGAATATTAATGAATGTAATGGAATATATTAATGTACTCTTTACAATATTTGCAGTCGGCGTATTTTGAAATCAAATATTATATGCCGATGTTTTCTAAAGGTAAAACCAATATACGTGTATCGAATCGTGGTGGCAATTAAATTACATTGTAGAGTATTATCAAAATTTATATGTGTTTAAAAGTACACATTGAAATGTGATACCTTAATTCAAAAAATACCTATTATAAAAGTTCAATTGTTTGTGCATATATTAAACATATAAAAACTACAGAAAAAATGGGATAAACAATTTAAATACTATTTTCTTGCTATTAGACTACTTCAGTGTCATTTTTGTTACGTTTTTTTTTTCTGTTACAGATTTTATTTTATATATGTGTATATAACATTTTCAATATTTTTTGATAAATCTATGAATTATTTATTATTATTGCTAAATTCTTTGAATGCTAGAATATTGATTGATGTAAAAAAATCACACCTGGGGTTAGTTGAAACAAACCTTGGGCTAGTGGTACTATACAAGAAAGATATACAGATTCAAGTGAAAAAATTGGGTAGAATTTATAGTTTGTAAGATGTGGGAAAATATAAATTGTGTTATAGGATATACACATATAGTGTATACCCTATATCTTTTGATTATTATATGATATTAATTGTAGTTTATGTTGATTTATGATAAAAATGTATATTATGGGCGAAATCATAGATTTTATTTGTATTAATTATAGTTAGCGTTGATTTATGAAGAATTACTTAAGAGCAAGTCATTTTTTTATTGTTACCATTTGCCTGGGTAGACATTGCAACCAGCGCCAAACGCAAGGCAAGTTGAAACATTGCATTTTTTTCTTCATTAGTTTGAAAAACACTGTTATAACTAGCCCCTAGCTATCCTATCATTTTCAATATTTTTTAGTTTATTTATGAATTTTGTGTTATTTATTTATTATGAATGTTTGCTTGCTTATGAATAAATAAATAAATATATGTATATACTTATTACTACAGATGCAATAGTTTACCTTACTGTTAGAAAACCCTTTCTGAACACAGACTGACTGAGTCCTGATCTGAATTTTTAATATCCTTTATAGCATGACAAATATCAATTTCATTAAAATATTAAATAATTCATTAAGTTCAAGATATGCAAGGGTGAAGCCTATGACAGCAAAATATGCAAGGGTGATGTCTGTGACGTATAATGTCGTCAAAAAATAAACATTTTACGATGTCTGTAAAAACGTTTCAATTTACACGAAACATTAAATTATAATCACTTTTCTTTTAGTAATAATGGTTACACCATTTTATGGATTTCTATTTGCAGCGTGGGTTTTAATTATAAATAGAAATATTAAACTGCGATAACGGCGGAGATAGGTATTTTGGAAACGGATCAAGATGGATCTTTAAGAGCTTTTTCTGAGAGTAAGGTGTAGGTAAGTTGCATAAGCTCTCATTTAAATTCCATCTCACGTCAATTCAATTATTAGGGTCAGTTCTTTACTTTGTCTACCTATTAAGCAGTAAAAACAAATTTTGTGCTCCCATGGTTCTCCCACATTATGCAAAAGTCTATTTAAAAAATCTTATGCTATTCAGGTACAATTTTTATAAATTAAATTGTAAATATATCTAGTATATCAAATATGTTTTTTAATTTTTAATTTTACAAACATGTTATTAGGGATGCCAACTTAGTCCCAAATATTTCATTGTGATACGAAATTCAATGAATGAGTTGTTGTGAAATATACAGAATTTTGTATCAACTTCTACAACTTTTTCACAAAATATGTGGACAATTAAACTAAATTAAATTGAACTACTCGTATAAAATTTTGTATTTTTATATGGCTTCATTAATGACTAAAATAAGATAAATGGTAAATGCAGACATGAAGGCATGAAGGCTTCTATAATTACTTTATAAATTATTTAAGTTGGAATTATTTTGCATATTACGACGTATGTATTTATAATTTGGTCATTGATTTCACTGGTAGTAGATAATTCAAATTACGAGCCGATTCTGCCGTAAAATAGACCAATGGCCTATAAATGTCCTATCTTCAGTAAAATGAGTAAAATAATTTTTGAACGTTGTCTGTTTATAATTTTCAATTAATTACAACGAATCACGTTTTTATTCGAATAGAAACTTAATTATAAATTAGATTAACAATCATTTCTCCAGTGGTTTTTATTATGCATTGATATCTTTATCACGGTTGCTGATAAATCTAAAGCATGGTTCGAATGTAATAACTTTTTCTTGTTGAGTTCATTTACATTCTAATCAGATTTTTAATTTTTATTATGCATGTATAAAAGTCAAAATTAATTTGATTAATACATCAGATCGTGTTTCTGAATAAATCTTGGCGAGACAAAATACAATTGAAATTTTGAAGTACAGACATAAAGATTGTTAAAATTAGTGAAATTTATTACTAACAATTTTATTCTTACACTGTAAAGTGCATTTATTTTAACAAACTTGAATTCATGCGGAATCTTCATAATGTATCGCTCGTATTTTCAAGATTTAATTATACAATTAATTTATTAACTTAGTGTAAAATATTCTCAAGGGTATTCTAATAACTATATTCCAATATAGAGCTATTGTCACAGGGGTTGATTTCTCAATAGTTCAGTGTATACTTGGAGATGCATCTCTACAAGCGGTTAACCGAGGTTGGTCAGACGGACGTGAGCAAACAACGACCCGAACTTGGAATTGAGAAAATTGGGGTATATTGATGAGATTTTGCAAAACTCAAATCAAGTGATTCAAATAATTTTGCTTTTCGAGGATTGATTAAAATAACATCGCAGTTTTAAAAATGAAATTAACAGCATGGTGTAAACCGTTGCTGCGATTTCAAAATATAACATAATTTATTTTAGCATAATTCATCTTAAGCAAGGATTATTCTAATCTGTATGCTTTTTATGCTCGTGATCGTGAGAGAGAGGATAGAACGGGGCTTAAAGGTCCGCGGGAAAAAAGGTCCACCACCGATATATCATAAACAAGTCAAGAATTTTTTGAGAATAAATAGTTATTTCAATTCTACTGATGAGTATTTCTATCGAAGTACCAGATCAAGGTTATGGTTATATAAAGTATAATCTCTGTAAAAATGCACCCATCGTAAAATTCCTTTAAGATTGAAAATAAGACATTCGACCGTTATATTCCTGGCCAACTCAATTTACCCTGTCTATGAGATAAATAGGACAAGGTGACATATTTTTGAATATGAACAAATAATAATATTAAATATTAGTTAAGAGTTTTACTGATCATAATCAAATAGCTGTTTGTTTGATATGTGTTATTTAATCAATTCAACTTAACTAATATATCAATTCAACAATTCAATTAAAAATTATTTACCGACCATTTGCGATGAAACAATCCAAAAACTAAGCCACACAATTCCCAACTGATATCTTTCAAACAGTTTCTGAATGTTGAAAATCCCTTCATGATTCTTGGCTAAAAGGTGGACAAAAATTCTGCATTTATTTGGTAATTGTAAAAAACGGTTTGACCTATCAATGCGAATCCTATGAAGTATTATATAAACATACATATTTTTTCCAATTTTGGTATCAAATGATTCCCAATAATTTTAATGTTGTGAACGTGAAATAAAATGCTACTTAATATAGAGTTTTACGTCTTAATAAAGACAGATTTTAGGTTTGTTTTACTTACTGTAATTTGTGTTTCTTTATTAAACATGGATAAAGTGATTTTTACGTTTCTTACTCTACAAATTATGTACTATACCAGAAATCAAGACTTTAATGTTCAGACTTTAAAATTTAAAATGATTGTTAAAACTTTTTTAAATTTTGTAATGCAAAAGAATATTAAAATTTTAACTATTGAATTTTCTCAATATTTAATAAAATCCTTACAATATAAGATAGATATGTCCAAATAAATACGTATAAGTTTATTGCATGAGATTGTTCAACTGTAACCCTTAGTAAATATAAATGGTTTTATATAATCCAGAACTTAAACCTATATTAATTTGATTTTGTATGACGCAGTATACGTTTCATTAGTCATGAAATGAAGGATCATGAAAACAACAAGCAGAATTAATGTCGATACTATTCACTTAAGATAGTACTTCGTAATTAAGAAATTATTTTAGAACATCAAATTAAACTAATTTACTATCAATACGAACGTCGCTCCCAGAAAACTGCAATCAACATTGTAATTGATATTAAATTCTCAGATTGCATAAGACGTAATTTTTTGAATAAAACTTATTTGCTCTACTAAACTTTGATCTTTTCGTATTTGCTCTAAACCATGTATCTGCACCTCATTTACTTTTGCTCGGCATACCTAAAAAAAACTAGTGATCTGGCTTAAGGCAAATTGCTGGACTTCTCGTATTATAATAAAATATTCGAAAAATATTAAATGATTTCAAATATATTATTATAAATACTGTATCTTCATTCGGTATTGAGCTCTCGAAGCGTACAGATCGTGGAATAATCGAAAACAAATTTAATTCGTCTAAAATTACATAATGGAATCAGGGCCATACGGCGAAGCCGATGCCCAGTCGGACGACATAGACAGTGTGTATAAAATCGGTATAAGTGTAGCAGGTGATACGAGTAGATTATTAACATCGGAAACGTTAAAAAATGCTATTAGCAAAATTAATAAAATGGAAAGTGATTTAACTAAAGTGAATAAAAAAGAAATAAATAGTAAAAGTAAGGCAATTAAAAAAATAAATCATGAAATGTTAAAAAATGCAATAAAACAACAATCAAACAATAAAACAGTTAATGATAGTGAAGGTAATAAAAAAAATAATACACAAAATTGGGCAGAAGAAATGGAAGAAGGCGAAAATAATAATGATCAAAATGTAAGTAAAAATGAAAATAATGATAAAAATCAGGATATGAACTCAAGTATAAAAGGCGATAATTACAAATCAATGAAGTATTCCGAGAATGATATGGGTCCATTTACCATATATGTTGAATCAGTAGATAAAAATACAGTACATCAAATGACAGTAGGCAGAATATTATTTAGCAGTTTACCTCAATATAAAAACGATATTATAGAAATAAAATCCATAGGCATTAACAGAATTAAAATTACGTTTAATACATATGACGCTGCAAATAAAATAATTAATGAGAAATTATTTATGGAAAAGAAATTAAAAGCATATATACCTATTTCTATGTTGATTAGGAAGGGCGTTATATATGATGTCGACACCGATATGACTGAATCAGATATTATGGAAAATATAAAATCAGAAATTCCTGTTTTAGATATTAGAAGAATAAAAAAAAAACAAGACAATGCATTAGTACCAACAAGGGTATGCGTAATAACGTTCAGAGGTCAACGTTTACCTGACCGTGTTTCGATATACGCTGTCAAATGCAGGGTCGAAATTTACAACAAAGTGACACAATGTTTTAAATGCCAAGGAATGGGCCACGTGACTAGCCAGTGTAAAAGTAAAGCGAGGTGCAGCTATTGTGCACAAGAACACAGTTTCAAGGATTGTGTAAATAAAGATAAGAATCCGATTTGTGCGTTATGCAATGGGGAGCATCAAGCCATAGATAAAAAGTGTGAAAAATATTTGTTTCATATGAAAATTAAAAATATAATGAACGAAAATAACATAAGTTTCAGAGAAGCCAGGGCATTTATAAACAATAGAACATATGCCAACGTCATAAATCCGGACATAGAAATCAGAAACAAAGTGAAATTTCCTGAATTGCCCAATACGCAGCAGGAAAAACATGCAGAAATAAATCAACAGCTTGTAACCACGAAGCCTTCAACAACAATATCTAAACAGACATATAGGAATAGCAATTCCATAAACGTAACAAATTATGGTGACAACAACAAAACAATCGATAATATGTCCAGTACACAGGAGCGAAACAGGTACAAATTTAAATACAATATTAACACAAAACCAAAATCTTCCTCACATATCAATAGTGAGAAAGGTGAAATTCCATTCGATAAATTAATCGAAGAATTAATTATTAACATATCAAAGAAAAAAGATTACACATTAAAAATTCTGAAAGAGTTAATTAAAGATATGGATAGATGACAAAAATAATATATGACAAATAAATGACTGGAAAAATAAAAATACTACAAATTAATTGCAGATCTGTTACAGCTAATAAGGCCAGTATTGAACATTTCCTTTATGAAAATGAAATTTCAATCGCGGCTTTCACTGAAACATGGTTTAAACCGGAATATCAATACTCTTTCAGAGGATATCGAATGTTTCGCAAAGACAGGGAAGATGGATATGGAGGAGCAGCAATCATTGTTAGAAATGACATAAATTGTGAGGAATTTCCTTCAGTCAACAATAATGAGAATATACAAATATGCGCCGCCATAATTAAAACAGATACTCCATTTTGCATTCTCTCAGTATATTGCTCTACTAGAACAGAATTAGATTTTTCAGATATCAAGGACACTATCTCAACAATCAACATGAGCTTTTTAATTACTGGCGATTTTAATTGTCATCATATGGCATGGGGAAGCAAATACAATAGCAGGGAAGGTAATATGTTATATGAAATCATAGAGGACAACGCAATACTAATTCTTAATGACGGACGTTCAACTACAGTAGCAAAGAAATACAGGAGTGCTACGAACATAGATCTAACACTGTGCTCAGGAAATTTTATAGATACTATTAAATGGGATGTATGCCAAGAGGTATTGGGATCGGATCATTTGCCTATAACAATAACTTTGGAGATAAAGGTGCCTTCGGTCATAAGAACGCGCCCTACAAAAAAGTGGAATATAAAATTTGCTAACTGGCAGGGATACTCCCGAGATATTATGCAATATATCCAAACAGGACAAATCTCAGACGATATAACAGCGAGATATAAACGTATCATACAGATTACCGAAAAATCTGCAGAGAAAAATATAAAACAATATAAAGAAATTAAGAGACCGATTTTTAAGCCAGCGATATGGTGGGATCAAGATTGCGAAAAAGCCATTTCAGATCGAAGAACAACATATAAAAAGATGCGTCAGCATTGTAATTACGAAAACTTCATACAATACCAAAAAATCAATGCACGCACTAAAAAGTTTTTGAAAAACAAGAAAAAAGAAAGTTGGCTGAATTTCATTAATTCCATCAATCAGGACATGAGTCCCGCAGTAATTTGGAACAAAATTAGACTTTTTAAAAATAAAAATAACATTATAAACACAACACAAAAAATTAAAAAAGAATTTGGGCAATTACTATTACAAAATTATGCACCAGACTTTGTTTCGGACAATCGTAAAGAAAATATAGGAGTATATTGTGAAGAAAGCGCACTGACAAGGAATTTCAAATTAGAGGAATTAGAGGATGCATTAAAAAAGAGGAAAAATACGGCTCCTGGATATGACAATATACCGTATACGATGATAAAAAATTGGCCTACGGAAATGAAAATTGAATTACTAACTGTATTCAACCAAATCATAGCAAATAATTGGATTCCCGAAGAGTGGAGGAAAATTATAATAGTTCCATGTATGAAGCCACACAGAAGACCCTTGGAAATAGACTCATATCGACCCATTTCCTTAATATCATGCATCGCTAAAACTTTTGAAAGAATTGTAAAAGAGAGAATAGATAGATATATTGAAAATAAAGAAGTTTTAAATAATTCTATGTTTGGTTTCCGGAGAGGGAAAAGTACGTTGGACTTACTGAGCAAATTAACAAATGATATACATATATCCAATTCGTATAATCAATATATGTTGGTAATCTCGATGGACATAGAAAAGGCGTATGACAATGTAGATCACAATATACTGGAGAAAAAATTAAAACATTTAAATTTACCACACAAATTAATTAATGTGATAATTAATTTACTATCTTTTAGACAATTATATATTCGAACCGACTCAGGTCTAATTGGCCCTAGAGTTATGAACAAAGGTCTCACTCAGGGTTCAATATTGAGCCCCATCTTGTTTAATATATACATGGCAGATTTTAAAGTAGTAACAGAACCGAATGTTAAAAAATTGCAATATGCAGACGACATTTATCTGTATGTATCTTGTCCAACTATGGATAGATGTATTTCATCGATGAGCAATGCTATCGAGGAGAGCAGAAGATGGTTATTGGACAATAACCTGAATTTATCACAGGATAAGTTTTCTGCAGCTATCTTTACCAGACACAGAAAAGAACATACTAGGAGACAAATAAGGATAGGATGTCAGGAGATACAAATAAAAGAAAATATTAAAGTTCTGGGCATCAATTTGGATAAGAAAATGAATTTTAAAAAGCATGTAGATGATATATTAAGCAAATGTGAAAAAGGATTAAATGTTCTCAGAAAAATAACAAGCATGAAATGGGGGGCTCACCCAGAAACTTGTCTCAATATATATAGAAGCTTAATAAGATCACAAATAGATTATGGTTACTTTATATATGGAGCACTCTCAACGAATATCCAAAAAAAGTTGGACAGGATTCAATACTCGGCGATAAGAACATGTTTGGGGGCATTTCGATCAACTCCAACGAATGCATTAATAGCTGAAGCAGGTGAACCTCCACTAAGCATTAGAAAGCAGATCCTATCAAATAGATTCTTAATAAAAAAATATAATGGAGCATGTGATGATATACCGAAACAATTAGAAGTATTAGCGAGGCTACATTTTACCAATATATATTGGAGAAATAGACCAATCCCACCCTTGATAAATAGCTTTTATGAGCTGAAACCATACGAAGAGGATGTAATAATGAATAAAAAGTTGCCAATTTATCATCTTACGAATGAATACACATCAACAAAATATTGCATAGTAATGGATATGGATTTAACTCACTTGACACATTTGAATGATACCGCAAAAAATAAAGAATTTCAAAATAATGTGGCTAGAAGATGGCCAGGATATGTACACATTTACACAGACGGATCTAAAGCAGGGTACAGTTGTGGTTGCGCTATATTTGTGCCATATCACAATTTTAGTAAGAGAATTAAGCTACCAAATTATGCGTCTAATTACACAGCAGAAATGGTGGCTATATACTGTGCTGTAAATTATGCGTGGGAGAAAAACATCACGAAAACAATTATATTTAGTGACAGCAAAGCATGTATATCAGCTATAGCGAACCCAAATAGAAGATCAAATAACATGATAATAGAAATTATAAATAAAATGAATGCAATAAATAATGGCATAAATTCTTTAATATTGACGTGGATCAGGGGACATTCAGGTATCACAGGAAATGAGATTGCTGATACTCTTGCAAAAGAAGCTGGTCAAATTGGAGTACAATGTGAAAAAATACCTGCGTTGGAGCTGAAAAATTTAATCAAAGAGCGGAGCATAGATGTGTGGCAAAAAGACTTCTCAACGTCAACAAAAAGCAAGGGTATAATTTATGCCCTGTCAAAAGAAAAGGTATCTCAAACAACCTGGTTCAAAAGTGATACAAGCAGTAGGAAATTCGTATCAACAATTACAAGATTAAGGCTGGGGCATACAATGTGCAAGATTCATCTCTGGAGGTTGGGAATAATCCAAGATTATATATGCCAATGTGGTGACGAACCGGAGACAATAGATCATATGTTCTGGGAATGCAGAATGTATGAGAATCCAAGAAGAAATATGTATCAGAAACTGCAAAAAAAAATATTATATTTCCAGTAAACACACAAGTATTAATATCTAGTAATAATGTAGATTTATATAAAATTGTATATAGTTTTATAGATAATAGTAAAATTACTGTATAAATACTCAATAATTTAAAATTATAACTGGCGTAATGATCGCAAGATCCACAGCCATGTAAAATAAATAAAAAAAAAAAAAATACTGTATCTTTCATTATTCGTATTTTATAGATAAAATATAAAAGCATATAGTTTGGGCTATGATATTTATATACATTTACATAAAAAGTACAAAAGTACAAAACCTAATGGTTCTTTTCGAAGGGCAGTTTATAGAATGAAGAATCTTGTCTCATAATTCTAAGAATTATTAAATTGAATTGCATAGTTAAAATTTATTTTAATTAATAAGTTAATAAAAATGTATAAAAGGATGTATAAAAAGAATATATATATTTTTCGTCCACGTTTTCGGACGCACGGATCAACCGATTTGAATGGTTCAAAAAACATTCGATTCCTATTGATAGGGAGATGTGCTGATTAATTTTTGGCAAAGACAGATCCAGCCGATTAGGAGATACGGTGCAAAGAGTGCTGAAAATAGAAATCAAATTTTTGAGAGATCGGAGCATCCGATTTGAATGATCCCAAAAACATTCAATTCGTAATGACGGGAGAAGGGGTGATTAGTTGTTGGCAAAGGCAGGTCCAGCGGTTTCGGAGATACAGCCCTAAATGTGTAACAAATGGCAGTTTTTGAGAGAACTAAGCGTCCGATTTGAATGATTCCAAAAACTTTTTGCTTGTTTTAACAAAATAATTGATTTTGGGAAAAAAAAATTTTTTGCTTTAAAATTTTTTTCAAAAATTTTTTTTTTGTATATCGAAAATAATTCAGATTTTTATTTTAATTCTGTTCTAATATACTTCAAACAAATAATTTCAACTTTCTAATTTAGTTTATATAATTCTTATAAATATTTGACAATGTTACAATATTTATAATAATCTATTTTGAAATATTTAATATTCCTCGATCATTTGGTTACGGTACGGGAAGTTCCAGCAATTTGCCTTAAGGCACGATGCCATACACCCCACTAGTTTGATTTTGTTTATAAAATTAACTATAATTTTAAAAATACATTCTCAAAATAAAGTTTCCTATTTTACATAATAGTAGTCATAATAAAAGTGATGTGTATTGTAATAAAAATTAACCAAATTGTAACAAAAAAAACTTAGTACAAAAGAAGATAGCTTACCTTATATTTTAGCACAAATGCAGGAAAACATCAGCACTTATTAGTTTTTAAATAACTTTTGACTATTCTTTATTTTAATAATATTTTTTTACAAAAGTAGTAGTACACAATATTCACTTTTCCGCGAGATCGCCAAGATCGCGTTCGAGTGAGAACTGACCGGAAAAAAGCGGAAGATCCTGTATGTCGAAACCTGTTGATCCATCGCGAAACCTTTGCGCATGCTGCCCACGGACAACGTAAAATAGTATTTACATCCCTATAGACCGTACTCAAAATTTTAATAAAACAGTTTAAATTACGAAAAACATTAGCAAAACAATTAGCAACATTAGAAATAGCTTGGCCAATCGTCGCACCAAACTGAGACACAATAGTCCTCATCGAGAGGCATCGATTGGCTTCTAAATTTTTGAAATCGGTTTAGCCGTTTTTTGGAGAAAACGTCTTCTTAAGGTTCAATGTCTGTTCACACACACACATACATTTTCCAAATTTAGTATCATTAAATTCAGAATGGCTCGAAACGTCGGAAAAACATAAAATTAGCAAATTGGAATTTTTGATGAAAACAAACTTCTCCTTCGGAAGTTAATAAAAACAAATTTTGTTTACATGTCTATGGGTTCCGTACCAATGTTTATCCGATAAATCGATTGCTTTGAAAAACCAGTTCAAAAATTTAAATTTTCCAAAGTTTTATAAAAAATTAGAATCTTTTTTTTTTTAATTTTAATTTTCGGTACGGTACGGCAATTAATTCGCCTCAAAGCACGATGTCATGCACCACTAGATAAATTTTTAACCATGTATATTTTTGCCTTATTAAAGTTTTAGGATATTTTTAACTTCCCGTAGGGTAAGTTATTGTAATCGTCCAATAATCGAAATTGAAAATTTTTGCATTTCTCGACGTTTTGAAGGTTTCTGAATATTTTGGCATACCTCAGAAGAAATGGATGTGTGTGTGTGTGTGTATGTATGGATACAATTTTTCGTCCACGTTTTCGGGCGCACGGATCAACCGATTTGAATGGTTCAAAAAACATTCGAGTCCTATTGATAGGGTGGTGTGCTGATTAGTTTTTGGCAAAGGCAGGCCCAGCAGTTACGGAGATAAAGAGCAGAGAGTGCAGAAAATAGAAATCGAGTTTTTGAGAGAACGGAGCATCCGATTTGAATGATCTAAAAAACATGCAATTAGTAATGATTGGGAGAAGTGGTTATTAGTTTTTGGCAAAGGCAGGCCCAGCCATTTTGAAGATACAGAGCTAAATGTGCAAAAAATGGCAGTTTTTGAGAGAACTAAGTGTCCGATTTAAATGATTCAAAAAAAATTCTGCTTGTTTTAACAAAACAAATTGATTTTGGGAAAAAAATCAAAATTTTTTTTTCAATTTTTTTTTTTTTTTAATTTTTTTTTGTAGTTTGAAAACAATTCAGATTTTATTTTTAATTCTGACTTAAGTTCTAATATACTTTAAACAAATAATTTCAATTTTGCAATTCAGTTTATATAATTCTTGTAAATATTAGACAATGTTACAATATTCATAATAATCTATTTGAAAACATTCAATATTTCTCGAACATTTCGTTACGGTACGGGAAGTACCAGCAATTTGTCTTAAGGCACGTAGCCACATACCTCATTAGTTTTAAAAATATTTTCAGTGTTTTAAGTTTTTTGCTCTAGATGATTTGCTCGTTGATAACAATTGATAAAGAATGAATTTCATTTAATTCTTTTATTTCGACGAATGGGTTGCCAATTATTTCAAATGTACATTGAATTGAATTTATAAATTATGTATTTTCCAATTAACAAATATAAGAAACTTGTCACTAACCACGATTATATCAAGAATTATTTTGAAATGAACATTTTTAAAACGAATATTTTGGTCATGTAAGTTGATTAGCTGCAGTTTGTAGCAAAAAATTGTATGGTGGCATTCAAATAAATTACTATATAGGTAAATAAAACAAAAATTATAAATATCCCAAAATTAAATAAATATTTTGTATTTAATAAAATTGGCAGAAAAATAATAACATAAGTCACCTTTGATATTTGTGGATATTCTACAGTTCATTTTTTTTAACAAAACTCTCTAAATGCATAATATCATTATACCTGGTAATACTAAAACAAAATTTATACTGGCGCGACATTCGATTGTATTTTAATTATAGCAATATTTATATTTTAGAAACTCCAAAATATATTTTAATAGCCGGTTAAATTCTTTAAATTCTAATTAATTAATTAGAATTAATTTAAACGAAGATAAAAAGGTAAGAGATATTGAATATGGTATATTTATTTTTTCTATTTTAGTAAAAATTGAAGAAGCGAAATTTATCGTGAATCAACTAATTTCAATTTATTCATGCCTTCGCCATAGATAAATAAGCATTCTATATTATTTCAAATTGAAAAACATTTGGGGGTTTTCCCGTTTTTCTCCAAATTACGCAACTGAAAGGGCCGTAGTTTATTTTTTATATCTGTCGTACTTGATTTTGTTTTATTAGTAAAATTATTTTATTTAATTTGATGATTAATGTTTTTATTAGTAAACTTGCTCGATTGAATTTGTTAATTAATGTCTATGTCTTTAGTTACTGTAATGATAATCAAATATTGGTTAATAGAATGAATATATATTTTAACCTAATTGATAATATGTCAAAACCAATTTGATATTTACATTCTAGCAATCTCAAGCTACACCACTGCTCGAGCATTGCCAACTTCAAGCAAATCTCTTCATATTAAACGTCAAGTCAAGTTAAGAAATATAGACATTCCAACTTTGACTTTAATAAATAATCTTACATTATTTTTGATAAATATTTTATTTGACAATTTGTGCTTAATATAACAAGTTTTTATTATAAGAGCTAAATATCACATCAGACAAACCTGACAAGCACTGACGAGCAAGTATAAAATAAGTGATAAAAAATATTGAATAATGGGAAAAAAGAAAGGTAAGTTTTTGATTATTGTACTATGTATATATCATTTCATTCAATAAGAGCACATTTACAAATGTTCAGGCATATCCAAGTTAATTATTATAAACTGCGCAGTGTCCCAAATTTAATTAAACTCGTTTAAGATTAAAAATATCTGTTCTTAATAAATTCATTGGATATTCTATTATTTTCTTCCAGCAGATTTACAAAATTAGTGATCATTTTTATATCTTTTAGGTAAAGGACAGAAGAACAATGCCCCTTCAACAGAAGCTGCAGGCAGTTCCAAGCCTAGTTCGAGTCAAACGAATCCTTCCACTAATGCTTCCCGTGATAATAAACCTAGTGCAGGCCAAACACGTACACCTGTATCTCAAACTACACCTGCAGCACCAACTCAGTCTCTTGCAAGTTCTGTGGCAACAAGCGCTTCCAAAGTTGCAGCGCCGCAAGTATGTATATTGTATGAACCCTAATAATAAATAATTAACCGCATTTGCAGCTAGATCTACCACTAAAATTTTTATTTAGTTAGTTTTTAATCGTTATTTGACATCTTTATTTGGTTATTTTTTTAATGGGAATATTAGATTCCTTTTCATGCTGGAATATCATTGCAACAAAATATGACCATACACCAAGACATCATTCACCATGCACATAACGAGATGCCTATCAGCCAAGGTGTACCTTTTGTGCAACATATATCCGCGCAGCAGAATTTGCCAGCACAACATGTGCCTTTATATAATGATGCAGTACACTATTTTCCTACCACACCACTAACAATGCCAACTCAACAGGTGCCAATGAATCAAAGTTTCCGTATGCAACAGAACGTTAAATTACAACAAAAACTTCAACAAAAATTCTCAATCCAACAAAATTTCCCAATTCAACAAAATGTAGCAATGCAACAATTACAGCCTACAATACCAATGCAGCAGCCTGTACCTGCTCAAAAATCAGCTTGGGGAAAACCTCATCAATTTTCTCAAAGCCAGCAAGCGCAGACAAGTAGCTCTTCTCCTGAGCTACCTTCTTCTAGCTCTAGTGGTCCACAACAAGGGGCCCCATTTCAAACTCAACTAGTACAATCTTCAGAAGTTTTAACAGGAGATCAAGTAAGATTGTTTATTTAGTTTTATTAGTATTTCATGTCATTAATATTTTTATTTAACTAACACAATTGACAATTAAATATTAGTTTTTCCAGAGTGATTTTTCAGATGTTATTATTGCACAATCAGTTTTTTTTTATACATTAAAATGTGACATCAATTAATATAAATTAATTATACACTGAGTATGTTGACCTTTAGTAATTGATTTTACCATTTGAAGGGCCGAAGACCGAGGGGAAGAGGTAGAGGAGCACCTTCACAAAAAAGTGTTTCCCAAGGAAAAGTAGGTGCTGCAGACTCATCTAAGCCTGCAGAGCAATCCTCTGCATATAAAACTCAACCAGTTCCTCCTACTCAAACAAAAACTATGCCATCTCCAGAAACTCCTCAACCTATGCAGACTACAAGTCAACAATTTAGACCACCCGCACAGACGTCACCTGTGCAAGAAAAAGGTGATCAAATAATTATCTAATCTATTAAAAATTGCATACTTTTACAAATGAATCATTTCTAATTCTTGAGGATTTTGTATTCAATGGGTTTTCATGCATGCTAGCATCATTATTTTATTTATCTGTTTAACAATATCTAATTGTTGAAAAAAAAAACAACTTTTTTTGTTATATTGATCATTTCTTTTAAAATAACAATAATAATTTGAGAGAGTTTGTTGACAGTCATCAGAACTTGAAGGAGAAACACTTAATTGAAATGTTATTTATGCTTTTGCATATGTTTATAACTTTCTTATATTGGGATATTATGAATACAATATAATATATTTAAGTAATATTTTAAACTAATATTTTTAAGCAAGTAATTATTATTTAGTGTACTTGTTATATTGTTGCATGTCTGTTTTTTACATAAAATTATATTTTCTGCAGGTGATCAAGGTCAAGTATCACCTTCAAGTAGCTCAGAAAAATCTGTTTGCTCTCAAGGGGACGGTTGGTCTTCAATTTAATTTTCATTTAATATTACTAATACATTTTGCTTTACTGTCTATTCATTGTGTATTTGAAGTTATGCCCTAAATCATATTGTTTTAAAAGTTACTTAAATTTTAAGTGATTTGTAATTAATATTATCTCATACAACTAAAATAACTTTCTAAGCTAAGCTTTATTGCTTTGTGGCTTTCCAGAAAATGCGCAATCTATAGAATATATATATATATATATATATATATATATATATATATATATATGCATGACATTTTATCAGCCAATACATCAAATAAAAGTAGTGTACTAAAATTATATTTTATAAATTGTTAGTACTAGTTTTGACATGAAATATGTCATCTTTCAGCTAAAATATAATAAAATAATATAATTTTAGTACATTATTAGTCTTTTAGTACATATATATATATATATATATATATATATATATATATATGTATATGTATAAGTGCCATTATGTATTGTAGTGACGATATATATAAATATGTTTTATATTCAGTTGTGTCTAAAACCTGTGGAATGGAACTTCCTACTAGAAAGAAAAGATATGAAGGTGGTGGTCAGTTAGGAAGAAAGATTCAAGTTCGAACGAATTTTATGCCCTTGAATCTGAAAAATATTTGCAAAATGGCTGTAAGTTGAGATATCTATATAACAAGAAAGTGCTCATTATTTTACTTCTTTTTTTAATTTCAGATACATTATGACATAACATTTGATCCAGATAAGCCAAAAAGATTCCTTAAACTGGCATTTAACAAATTTTGCACTACTTATTTTCCTAATAGGTACCCAGCATTTGATGGAGTAAAGAATGTATATGCTTCTTCACCCCTTCCTAAAGTGGGTGTTAATGTCCTTCAAGGAGAGGTATATTTAAATTAATTTTTTTTTTTGTTTTCTACCTTATGCATAGAGTTGCTTTAATTTTATTAACTTGCTCTTTAATGATCATGTTTTAAATTTTATTTCTCTTTATTTCTTAGGTTTCTATTATAAACCCTGATAATGAACTGGAAAAAAAATATAAAGTAACTATTAAATTTGCTTCTTATGTTGACATGACTTCCCTTTCAAAGTAAGTGTTCAGATTTACTTGTTTAATATCTGAAAATAAAAAATTATAATGGAAGGTTTTCTATTTGTTAGATATATGGAAAATGGATCATCTATTGAGACACCGCAGGAAGCCCTGCAATGTATTGACATCATATTTAGGCATGCACTCTCCAAACAATTTGTTCAGGTAAATTTAATTAATTATTTAAACTTTTTTAAAATAACTACATTTTTTTTCAATTTACATTAATTTTTTGGTGCTTATTTAATATTTCATAGGAAATTATTATTTTATTCTATTTAAAAATTCTATTTTAATTTATAGCTAAGATTTTTGCAATTTTAAACAGAAGAGACCTAATAAACAATTGCTGCTATAATTAATTATATTATAGGTGGGAAAGTCCTTCTTTACACCACCCAGTGGTCGAATTGTTTCTCTTGGTGATGGAATGGATCTATGGTATGGGTTATTTTCTAGCTGTGTTTTAGGATGGAAACCTTATTTAAATGTAGATGGTATGTATCACCAATAAATTTACTATTATTGTTATTTTATACAAATTTATTACCAATACAACAAATTACAATTTTAACTTCTCTAATGGAATATATTTTGTGTCTGTATAGTAACTGTTCTATATGTAAATATGTAATAATACATCTTGTATTTCTTCAATAGTTGCACATAAAGGATTTCCAACTAAACAACTAGTTACAGAGTACATGATGAATGAGAAAAGTATTGATTTAACACGCCCAGTGGACCCACGTATGATAGAAGAAGTTCGCAAATTTATTAAATCACTTAAGGTACAATTTTAATTTTATAGGGCTCTACATAACTTTTATCATATCAATAAATAAAATGACGTTTTCAGAATGTTTAATAGATTTATACTTGAAAATTACAATTTTTAATAGGTCATATATCAAATTCCTGGCAAGCCTACTACAAAGCGAAGTTTTAGGGTAAATGATATTCGTAATTTACCAGCTGAACAGGAGAAATTTGAAGATGAAAATAGTAAGATTAAAATATACATATACATACATAAGGAAGTTTTAATTTCTTAAACAATGTTTTTGTTGATATCTAAATATGTATTTGTGTATTTTTAATAAATACACAGCATTATTCTTCATACATTCGATTACCCGAATGGTATGGACAATTATTAATCTGGATAATAGTTTCTACTATGTATATATATAAATATATATATATACATATATATATATACATATATATATATATAAATATTTCAGAAAGAGAAATAACTGTTGTGAGATATTACAGAGAAAGCAAAGGATATTCAATTCGTTATCCTAAATTACCTTGCCTGTGGGTAGGTAGTCGAGCTAAAAATGTATTTGTCCCTCCTGAGCTTTGTACAATTCAAGAAGGCCAGGTACGTTACAATTATGTTGACTAATTTCGACTTAAGATAATTCTTTGATATGTAATATCTATTTTTTATCCATGTGTATAAAAAATTTTAAACTTACATTGAATACCATAAATTGTGAAATACATGTGAGTTTTCCTATGCAAGTCAATCTATCTTTCTAAATAGAAATTATTATAACACTAGTTAATATATAAATTGAATTTTTGTCTCAATTTGCATATTAAATATTAAACCGATAGCAAACTATTAAACCGTGCACTGGTATGACCACATTTCTTTTAGTTTATTAATAAAATGTTTGTATTCTTATTTATTTTAATTCACATTTTTCAGGTAGTGCTTAAAAAATTAACTGAATTACAAACAAGAAATATGATTAAGTGTGCTGCAACTCCAACAGATATGCGTGAGAAAAAAATTATGGATGCATTTAATAATGTAAACTATTAACATTTTATGTTTTTTTAATTGGTAAAGTAATAGATCATATATGATATATTTCAGAGTAAGATTGAGAATCATCCAGCTGTAAAGGAATTTAATTTGTCAATTGATAGTAAATTTGAAAGAGTTGATGCCAGAGTTTTGGATCCACCAATTTTAGAGTATGCTGCAGGCAAAGTGGTAACTCCTAGGTTTGTATATTTTCTTACTATTTTTTGTTTAAAATAAATTTTCCTAAATAACTAAAATTTTAGAGAGGGTGTCTGGAAATCGGACCGCGAGAAGTTTTTGAAAGCAGTTAATATACAAAATTGGACAGTTTTAAATTTAGACTTCAGAACAAGAAATGATAGGATAGAATATTTTTGTACTGAGGTTTGCAATAAAACTACTTTAACTGTTATTTATATATTTATATTATTTATTTTGAAAAAAAAATTTTTTTAGATGACTAAATTGGCTCGCCAAGTAGGAATATCTATTAATCCTCCAAGACCTCCCATAACTTTAGATACAAGAAGATTAGTTCATGATTTACCTGAATATTTCAAGAAAGCGAAACAAGATAAAATAGAATTAGTATTTGTCATTATTTCACAGGACGATTCATATTGTAAGGTACAATAAGATATATTTCATGAAATCAATCTCACATTTTTATACTTTAAATATCTAGAAAGTAATTGTGTATAAGGAATTGTAAGGTTCAAATAAAATGTAACTTTATCGTTACTTTTTAAAAAAATTATTAACATATAGCACTGTTTAGCTTTCATTAGTTACAATTTTTGTCTATAAAATTAGGACATTTATGAAAAATTATTTTGCAGGTAAAGCAAACTGCTGAGTTGCAATTTGGTATCCTGACCCAATGTGTAAAAGGGAACACTTTAAATAAATTGACCCCTTCCACTTGTCATAACATTTTACTGAAGGTAAGAAAAGTATACTCGTTTCTTTAATATTGTACAATTAACATCAAAGTTGGCTATTTTAAAAATACATTAAATATGCTTTTTCTAGGTCAATGCTAAGTTGAATGGTACGAACTATCAATTATCGTCAAGAATACCAAGAAGGCCATTTATATTCAATCATCCTGTGATGATAGTTGGTGCAGATGTTACACATCCTTCACCTGATCAAGTATAATATCTATTTATAAAACTGAAGCATTAGTAAAAGTTGTTTTATCATTAATTTTATATTTTCAGACCGATATTCCAAGTGTTGTGGGGGTAGCTGCATCTCATGATCCCAATGCATTCAAATACAATATGATTTGGAGATTACAGCTGCCAAAAGTATATTGAAATCATATATTGAATTTGATTTTCATAAAAGTTACTTATGAGTCATTTTTATATCTCCTACAGATTGAAATAATTGAAGATTTGCATAGCATCATGAGAGAGCATTTGCTTAAGTTTTACAAAGAAACCCATCAAAAACCGCAGCGTATATACTTTTTCCGCGATGGAGTATCGGAAGGGCAATTTAAACAGGCATATATAGCAAACAATTATTGTATAAATATAAAAGTATTAGTAAACACTATTTATTGACTCTTAATTAATAATATTAGGTATTGAATTCTGAGTTTGTTGCTATAAGAAGAGCATGTCAATCTCTTGAAAATAATTATCAGCCTCCAATAACCATGCTGGTTGTCCAAAAACGACATCACACCAGATTCTTTCCGTTTGATCAAGATGCTGTTGGCAGAAATAAGTGGGTTTTTAATAGTATTATTAATATATATATATATATATATATATATATATATATATATATATATGATAAAATTGTTTCTTGGGCATCCATCCAGAAATTAAAAAAACAGTTTTATTGGAAAATGTTTTTATTTAGAGAAACATACGTTTCGGGTCTTGATTTGACCCATCTTCAGTGCATACAAATAAGTTTTAAAAAATAACACAAAAAACACAACAAAATTGCACTAAAAAATAATTAAATAAGAAATAAAAAATTGATAAGACATCAAGTTATGAATTTTTTTTTTTTTTTTAAAATATAGTAAAATTAAAATAAATAATGTTTTATTATAAAAAAGGTTTTTCCAGACGAACATGTTGTTAGTTTAGAGACCGTGTTACGTGTGTGTCTTTATTATTTAATTAAATTTTATTATTTATTTATTTTTTAGTGCAATTTTGTTGTGTTTTTTGTGTTATTTTTTAAAACTTATTTGTATGCACTGAAGATGGGCCAAATCAAGACCCGAAACGTATGTTTCTCTAAATAAAAACATTTTTCAATAAAACTGTTTTTTTAATTTCTGGATGGATGCCCAAGAAACAATTTTATCATATTATTTCACCAGAAGAAAAACCTCTCGCTTTATATATATATATATATATATATATATATATATATATATATATATAGTCATTACAAGAAATCTCTATTCTAATTTTGTAAAACTTTATACAAAAAAAAAGCTTTTGTCCTAAATTCAATTACTTTTCAGAAATGTGCCACCTGGAACAGTTGTAGATCAATTGATCACACATCCAACTGAACGGGACTTTTATTTGGTAATAATTATAGATGAGTGAAAAATAATGCAAACAAAAATTAAATTACTAATAAAATACTATTTTAAAGGTGTCCCATCAATCCATACAAGGTGTTGCACGTCCCACAAAATATAAAGTGTTATGGGATGATAATGACATGACAGAAGATCAATTGCAGGAATTGACTTATTTTCTGTGTCACATGTTCAGCCGCTGCACTAGAGCTGTTTCTTATCCCACCCCTACATATTATGCCCATCTTGCTGCTTATAGGGGAAGAATTTATATAGAAGGGTAAGAATTTTAGTTCATTAAGAAGTTTTGTTTAGGTAAGAATGGTATGTAGCAAATTTATAATAGTCAAAAACCAAGTAACATCTAAATGAGGTGTACTTTTAACTTTATTAATTTCATAAAAAATAATAATTTGAATTATTTAGTAAACAAAAATATAAAAAATTAATAAGTCCAATATTTTAACTTTCATATTCAATATATACCAATACTTAAGTGTTTTTTTTATTTTCAATCTCTTAAATTGAACAATTCATTTGCATGATGCATAAACATACATGAGAATTTTCAACAAGTTCAATGGTGATCAGGTTTTAGGCATTTTACACCTTATTTATTCAAAAATCCGCTCAAATACTAATAGTATATATGTTATTTTTTGTAGCAAGCGGATTCAACTGAATGACCTACAGCGCGAACAAGATTGCCGCAGAATACAGGATGATGTACAGAAAAATAAGCCTATGTTTTTTGTATAAATTACATTATTTTTTTGTCATAAGGAATATTATCTAATTTTTCTATATAATATACATAAGTGCAAAGTATTTAAATGAAATACATTTGATTTATATAAATATATATTTAGTAATGTGACAAATCTCGTGTTTAAATTAAAGTAAAACTTAAGGGAATGAGATCTAGCATTGATCTAGGAGTCATGTTTGTGTACCAGTTGGTGGAGTTCCTGAGCATTGATCAAAAGTCATTTTGTTTTTAAGTAGATAAGCGGCCAAATAACTTATAGGATCTGGAGGCCTCTCCCTTGCAAGTAACATTAAACCTTGCAATAAAATAGGGGCTACAGTTTGGTCTAAATATTGGCGGGTGGGTAAAGACTGTAAATCTATTCGCACTTTTTTTTGAGGAAGTTCTTGCTCCTTTTCCATTACTATTACATTCTGCAAAAGAAATTAGTAAGTTAACCTAATAAAAAAATAGAGATGCCACTCTACTTAGCATCCTTCGAAATTAACAGTTATAAACACTAACCGCGCAAAAAATAACGATACAAATATATAATACAAAAAAAATATAAATTAATTTAATACAATTAAAATTTAAGATATCAACAAAAATTAATTATTGTATACCATTTGTATACAGCCACTTACAATTGCTTGTTCGGGAATAGGAGTAACAGTCAATTTATTGCTTTTGTTTACACTTTCTTCACTCGTAAATTTAAGATCTAAAAGCATTACACCACAATAAAAAATGATATTTAACAATCATATATATATTATATTATACATACCGCTTTCAGACATTTTGAATATGTTGTCTAGGATTTGAACCTTCATCCATAGCTCAGAAAACATACCAAAGGGCACTAACCATGGGCCAGTAATGTTTTGCTATGCGTGTGACTGCAGCGCCAGACTAAATATGAACTACGACATTTTTCATGTGTTTGTGAAAGAAAAAGGTTATTAAAGAAATGTTATAAATAGTTATAAACAAGTTACAACAAAAAAGTGAAGCTTGAATAATTATTGACATTTTGCAATTTACTTCAAAGCACTTAAAACACAGGTAAGTACATGAGTACAATGATAAAATAAATAAAGAAATGCAGTAAATATTTATAAGGTTGAGTTTTGGTTGAGTTTCCTAAAACCTATGTCAAAATATCTGAATAATTCTTAAAAACAAAATTATAATAATGATAAAAATATTTTCTCAATAGAATAAGTAAATAAGTAAACTGATTTTTTTCGTTATTTTTGTTCAAACTAAAGACTTGGACATTATTATAAAGACATTTTAACCACTGCTCCATTTGATTACTTGACATATATATGATATTATGTACCTATAATTTACATATTAAATAAAATTTAATTGAATCAAGTACTACGTCTCTTCTTCCTCTACCCTTTTCTCCTCTACCTTCTCCCACTTCCTCCCTTGTCTCTTCATCCACATACACCCCGCGAAAAATCGAAATATTTGGTTGCAAAGTCATTTTTTTTTTTCAAAAATCAAGTTTTTTCGCAATTTTCGAAATGTTTTGATTAGTTTTGATAGATTTGGAGTATATGAATTTATCCGTTATCCGTTTTTAGATAAATCTGCATACCTCTCCATAAAATTTTTAGTTGCAAAATCAAAATTTTACTAATGAAATAAACATTTTTTTCGCGATTTTTAAAATATTTTGACCGATTCTGATAGTTTTCGAGCGCGATAGGCGCTGATTCCAACTATGAAATCGGTTTTTGGGAAAAAGATTCTTTCCACTCCTACGACCAACTTGAAGTTTGAAAAATTGCCAACTTTGAAGCTGATTTTAACTATGAAGCTGATGATAAATCTGTAATTTTTTTTGGTTTGGTATGAAGATTGTACTTTAGTGTACACAATGCATTCGTTAGAATTATTACCCAAAATGTTTTTGACCAAAATTTTTTGTTGACCAAAAATTATTTGCACCGTACCTAATTATTTATTTCATATAGTGAAACAATAATAATATTAATTAATATATAATTGTCACTGTGTTAATAAATTTTTTGACCAAAAATTTTTTTCCCAAAATTTTTTTGACCAAAAATTTATTTCCTAAAAATTATTTGCACCGTACCTAATTATTTATTTCAAATAGTGAGACAATAATAATATTAATTAATATACTTGTTACTGTGTTAATAAATTTTTTGACCAAAAATTTTTTTTCCAAAATTTTTTCCCCAAAATTTTTTGAACCAAAATTTTTTTGACCAAAAATTTTTTTGACCAAAATTTTTTTTCCCAAAATCTTTGACCAAAATATTTTTCCCAAATTTTTTTTCCCAAAATTTTTTTGACCAAAATTTTTGGACCAAAATTTTTTTTTCAAATTTTTTTTTTCCAAAATTTTCTTGACCAAAATTTTTTTGACCAAAATTTTTTTTCCCAAAATTTTTTGACCAAAATATTTTTCCCAAAATTTTTTGACCAAATTTTTTTGGACCAAAATTTTTTTTTCCAAAATTTTCTTGACCAAAATTTTTTTTTTAAATTTTTTTTGACCAAATTTTTTTTTTCAAAACTTCTGGAACAAAATTTTTTTGACCAAAAATTTATTTCCCAAAATTTTTTGAACCAAATTTTTTTGACCAAAAATTTTTTTTCAAAAATTTTTTAGACCAAAATTTTTTGGACCAAAATTTTTTTGACCAAAAATTTTTTGCCCGTACCTAATTATTTATTCAAATAGTGAGACAATAATAATATTAATTGTTACTGTGTTAATAAATAATGTGTTAATACATTTTTTGATCAAAAATTTTTTTCTCAAAATTTTTTGGACCAAAATTTTTTTTCCAAAATTTTTGGGCCAAAATTTTTTTGACCAAAAATTTTTTTGACTACAATTTTTTTGTCCAAAATTCTTATCTCCAAATTTTTTTTGACAAAAACTTTTTTGACCAAAACTTTTTTGACCAAAAATTATTTGCACCGTACCTAATTTTTTCGCTAAATTTTTTTGACCAAATTTTTTTGACCAAAATTTTTTGGGCTAAATTTTTTTCGACCAAAATTTTTTTTGGCCAAAATTTTTTTGACCAAAATTTTTTTCCCAAAACTTTTTGGGCCAAAATTTTTTGGGCCAAAACTTTTTGACCAAAATTTTTTTTCCGAAAATTTTTTTTGACTTAAAATTTTTTTGAACAAAATTTTTTGACCAAAATTTTTTAAACCAAAATTTTTTGGGCTAAAATTTTTTTGACTAAAATTTTTTTTGATCTAAAATTTTTTGACCAAATTTTTTTTTTGACAAAAATTTTTTTGACCAACATTTTTTTGACCATAATTTTTGGGTCAAAATTTTTTGGGTCAAAATTTTTGTTGACCCAAAATTTTTTGGGTCAAAATTTTTTTGTACCAAAAATTTTTTTTGATTCAAAATTTTTTTGACCAAATTTTTTGGGCCAAAATTTTTTTGACCAAAATTTTTTTGGGTCAAAATTTTTTGGGTCAAAATTTTTTGGGTCAAAATTTTTTTGAGTTAAAATTTTTGTGACAAAAATTTTTTGAACCTAAAATTTTTTTGACTAAAATTTTTTTTTGAGTCAAAATTTTTTTGACCAAATTTTTTTGACCAAAATTTTTGGGTCAAAATTTTTTGGGTCAAAATTTTTGTTGACCCAAAATTTTTTGGGTCAAAATTTTTTTATACCAAAAATTTTTTTTGGGCCAAAATTTTTTAGGCCAAATTTTTTTTGACCAAAATTTTTTTGAGTCAAAATTTTTTCGGGCTAAAATTTTTTTTGACTAAAATTTTTTTGGACCAAAATTTTTTACCAAAATTTTTTTGACCAAAAATTTTTTGGACCAAAAGTTTTTGGGCTTAAATTTTTTCGACCAAAATTTTTTGGTCCAAAACTTTTTGACCAAAATTTCTTTTGACCAAAAATTTTTTTCCTAATATTTTTTGGGCCAAAATTTTTTTGGGTCTAAATTTTTTTTGACCAAATTTTGTTTTACCAAAATTTTTTTGAGTCAAAATTTTTTGACCAAATTTTTATGGGCCAAAATTTTTTTGACCAAACTTTTTTTGGGTCAAAATTTTTTGAATCAAAATTTTTTGGGTCAAAATTTTTTGGGTCAAAATTTTTTTGAGCCAAAATTTTTGTGACAAAAATTTTTTGAACCAAAATTTTTTTGACCAAAATTTTTTTTTGAGTCAAAATTTTTTTGACCAAATTTTTTGGGTCAAAATTTTTTTGGGCCAAAATTTTTTGGGTCAAAATTTTTTGGGCCAAAATTTTTTTGACCAAATTTTTTTTGACCAAAATTTTTTTGAGTCAAAATTTTTTTGACCAAATTTTTTTGACCAAAATCTTTTGGGTCAAAATTTTTGTTGACCCAAAATTTTTTGAATCAAAATTTTTTTATACCAAAAATTTTTTTTGGGCCAAAATTTTTTAGGCCAAATTTTTTTTGACCAAAATTTTTTTGAGTCAAAATTTTTGTGACAAAAATTTTTTGAACCAAAATTTTTTTGACCAAAATTTTTTTTTGAGTCAAAATTTTTTTGACCAAATTTTTTTGGGCCAAAATTTTTTTGACCAAAATTTTTTTGGGTCAAAATTTTTTGGGTCAAAATTTTTTTGGGCCAAAATTTTTTGGGTCAAAATTTTTTGGGCCAAAATTTTTTTGACCAAATTTTTTTTGACCAAAATTTTTTTGAGTCAAAATTTTTTTGACCAAATTTTTTTGACCAATATTTTTTTGGTCAAAATTTTTGTTGACCCAAAATTATTTGGGTCAAAATTTTTTTAGACCAAATTTATACCAAAAATTTTTTTTGGGCCAAAATTTTTTAGGCCAAATTTTTTTTGACCAAAATTTTTTTGAGTCAAAATTTTTTTGGGCTAAAATTTTTTTGACCAAATTTGCTTGACCAAAATTTTTTGGGTCAAAATTTTTTTGACCAAAATTTTTTTGAGTCAAAATTTTTTTGGGCTAAAATTTTTTTGACCAAATTTTTTTGAGCAAAATTTTTTGGGTCAAAATTTTTTTGGGCAAAAATTTTTTGGGTCAAAATTTTTTGGGTCAAAATTTTTTTGGGTCAAAATTTTTTGGGCCAAAATTTTTAAGGCCAAATTTTTTTGACCAAAATTTTTTTGAGTCAAAATTGTTTTGACCAAAATTTTTTTGAGTCAAAATTTTTTTGACCAAATTTTTTTGACCAAAATTTTTTGGGTCAAAATTTTTGTTGACCCAAAATTTTTTGGGTCAAAATTTTTTTATACCAAAAATTTTTTTGAGTCAAAATTTTTTGACCAAATTTTTATGGGCCAAAATTTTTTTGACCAAACTTTTTTTGGGTCAAAATTTTTTGGGTCAAAATTTTTTTGACCAAATTTTTTTTGACCAAAATTTTTTTGAGTCAAAATTTTTGTGACAAAAATTTTTTGAACCAAAATTTTTTTGACTAAAATTTTTTTTTTAGTCAAAATTTTTTTGACCAAATTTTTTTGACCAAAATTTTTTGGACCAAAATTTTTTGGACCAAAATTTTTTGGGCCAAAATTTTTTGGGCCAAAATTTTTTGGGTCAAAATTTTTCGGGTCAAAATTTTTTTGGGCCAAAATTTTTTTTTGGTCAAAATTTTTTGGGCCAAAATTTTTAGGCCAAATTTTTTGGAGCAAAATTTTTTTGAGTCAAAATTTTTTTGAGCAAAATTTTTTTTGACCGAAATTTTTTTTCCCAAAATTTTTTGGACCAAAATTTTTTGGACCAAAATTTTTTGGACCAAAATTTTTTGGACCAAAATTTTTTGACCAAAATTTTTTTGACCAAAATTTTTTTCCCAAAATTTTTTGTACCAAAATTTTTTTGACCAAAATTTTGTTCCCAAAAACCAAATTTTTTGGACCAAAATTTTTTGTACCAAAA